CCCCTCATACTGAACTGTTCCAGCACTAGTCTTATTCACAGACAAGGCGGGGTGGGGGTGGCGGGGCAAAGCCTCCATTTAGGATTTCCTTACCTGGAGAAAAGAACTTGGCTGAACTGCCAAATACTTAGGCCTGAGACACAGCAACCACATCATGTACAAGTAAGTGTGTGCCTCCCTCACAGACACTGTCTTCCTTCAGGACAGCCCCCTAGAACCTCCTGAAGCTTCAGAGCACTCTGCCAGCCCAACAGAGGAAGCAGTTCAGCACAGGCCTCTGAGCCATGCTCACTTTACAGAACTGAGCTGGTGGAAAACCTGAGTGTGTGATTGGTTATCTAAATATTTAAGTTCCCAGACATCGTAGATGCCTTAAAGACTTTCCCTGGAGGATCACTGGCATAAATATTAATTAACTGTTAAAACTGACAACAATGGTTTGCTCTAGCTAGAAGTCTGGGACTGCTGGACTTACTGACTTGCCTGTTTGGCAGCTGTGTGGAACTATGTGTTCCATGACATCCTTATGGTACCAAGACAAGGCAGCAGCTGGACTTTTTAAAACTGCAGGCACATGTTTGGATAATCACTTTGGCTTCCAAATCACTCTGGTGAAGATCAGTGTGGGAATAATAGCATCATCTGGGACCATGGCGCTTAGCAGCATTGTTTCTTTGGAGTCTGTGTAATGGAATGTATTTTTCAAATATTGATATTTTCATTTTCTGTAATAATTCCTTATAATAAAAATAAGGTAAAACTGTGAATTTTAAGTGGAAGCTTTAATTAAAGACATTTATGGATACTTCTAGCCCAAGTAGAAGTACCAATGAGCATTAAAAAAAACAATTTTAAAAAATTGAGCCATATGGTGGTGCACATCTTTTATCACAGAGGCGAGGGGATCTCTGTAAGTTCAAGACCAGCCTGGTCTACAGAGCTAGTTCCAGAACAGCCTGTCTCAAAAACCTAAAAAAAAAAAAGGGTGGTGGTAGCACACGCCTTTTAATCCCAGCACTCAGGAGGTAGAGGCAGGTGGAGTTCGAGACTAGCCTGGTCTACAAAGTGAGTTCCAGGACAGCCAGGGCTACTAACACAGAGGAAACCTTTTCTCAAAAGCAAAAACAAACCCCAAATGACAAAAGTAAAAGAGGGCAGGAGAGTTGGCTCAGTGCAACTATTACAAAGGACCCAGGTTCCATTCTCTGCACCCACATGGAAGCTCACAGCCTCCTTGGGCACCAGGCATATATGTAGTGCACAGATGTACATGCAGGCAAGATACTTATAAAGTATTAAAAATACTTAATAGATGTTATGCGAACAAACAACTTGAACAGGTACCCTTTACATTTCATGTGACACATGTTGACAGATGTCACAAAGTAAGTGTTTTGTGTAGAGTGAGCAGCTGCTGTGCTCCCTGCCCGCCTGATGGAAGTTTCACTGATACATGGGAGTGCAGATGGAATTTCAGTTGTCTGGCCCCATGGAAGTTATCCAAAGAATCCTGGACTCCTCTTCCATTATTTCAAAGCAACTCTAAGGATTCACCCATGGTGAGCTTCCCACTGGCCAAGATGAAGTTGGCACTGTGGCTTCAGAGAATGTCAAAACGTCTAGGAGGCTGCAGATTAAGATCTGGTCCAAAAACTTCAAATCTAGTACAAAAAAAAGAAAGAAAAACAATTCTAGTGAACAGGTCTTCAGGATTAGTTCAGGATATATCCTGGACTAATGTGTTCCTTTCTCTAGCCCTCTTTCATTTTGCTTGCCCTCAACTCAGACTAGCTGTGGTGATCTAGCTAATTTTGTGGGGGTCTCTTATGAACTTGGATGGTCCTACTCCCCTTAATCCCAGCACCTAGGAACCAGACTCAGGCTGTCTAGAATTCAGAACAAGGTCCTTGATTAGTTCACTGTCAGTTCCTGCCCTGGGAGTACAATGTTCATGAGTGTATGAATCAGTCCAGTGTGAGGCTGATGGGGATTCATGGCTCAAGCCCATGAAGATAGATTCTTTTTTTTTTAGCGGGGGGGGGGGGGGGAAGTGCAGGGTCTCACTGAAGTCCTAGATAGCCTGGAACTTGCTATATAGACCAAACTAATCTCGAACTCAAAGATCTGCCTGTTTCTGTTTCCCAAATGCTAAGGTTCAAGGGTTGCACCATCATGCCCACGGGGGTTGAGCAACCAAGTGCTGGTGGAGAGCTGGGCAAGAGTTGAAACCTACTCTGTGGACAGGACTATTGAGAACTAAATGGAAGACTAATGGAGTAAGAGAGATTCTCCGGAAGGAAGGGTTTGTGTATAGGGATTACATAGAACAAGACTGCAGAGCAGGGCACATAGGAAAGAAATAGACAGTTAAAAGCCAGACAGGCAGTGCAGGGGACCTCTCTGCCACAATGCTGCATGTGACCCTCAAGGATACAGGGCACCCCTGTGTACTGGCTGGCTTTCTGTGTCAACCTGACACAAGTTAAGACTCATCAGAGGAAATGCCTCCATGAGATCCAGCTATAAGGCATTTTCTCATTTAGTGATGAATGGGGAGGGTCCAGCCCATGGTGGGAGATGCCATCCCTGGACTACTGACCCTGCATTCTATAAGGTGGGCTGAGCAAGGAAGGGTAAAAAAGGCTGTAGGCAGCTCCCCTCCATGACTGCATCATCTCCTGCCTCTGGGATCCTCACGTTTGAGTTCCTGTCCTGACTTCCTTCAGTGATAAACAGCAATGCTGAGGTGTGAGCCTAATAAAGCCTTTCCTCCCCAAATTGCCTTTTGATCATGGTGCTTCATCACAGCAATAAAAACCTAACTAAGATACCATGGGAAGTTTTAAGTGGGGACTACCCTGATCATCATGAAGAAAGATGATCTACCGGTGTGGAAAGTTCTTCTGTATATGTGTTGCTTTTTTTGTAATTATTGAAAAAATTTCCGCCTCCTCCCTGCCTCCCATTTCCTTCCCCCTCCCCCCACTCCTCTTCCCCTCTCTATGTGTTGCTTTTATTGGTTAATGAATAGAGAAGCTTCTTTGGCCTGTGAGAGGGTAGAGTAGAGCTAGGTGTGGGGGGCGGGTCACACAGGACCATGCTGAATGCTGAGAGAGAGTAGGCAGAGTCAGGGAGAAGCCCTGTGTAGCTGCCACAGGAGACAGACACTTGTGCGGGAGCCCGCCATGCTGGGAGTAGTGATGCACAGATTAATGGAGATGGGTTAATTTAGGATGTAAGAGCTAGCTAGCAATATGCTTAAGCTATTGGCCAAACAATATTTCAAATAATATAGTTTCTGAATGATTATTTTAGGTCTGGGCAGCCTCTGCCTACAATCTACCACATCAGGGAAGCGGGTGGAACATTAAGATCTGTCAGCCTAAACACAGGAGACCAGAAGGAGGAGGGATAAAGGGGAAGAGCTAGCAGGTAGGACTCAAGGGTGCAGACTGGACAGGAGGCAGGAATTCTGACAACTTGCCAGGCTTTTCCCTAGGGCAGCGTGGGATGGTGGTAATGGTCATATGGTACCCTGACCAAAAGCAACTTAAGGAGGAAAAGATTTATTTCATCGTACACTTCCAGGTAACACTTCACTTAGGGAAGTCAGCAAGAGTCAATGAAGCAGAAACTGGAGCAATGCTGCTAGCTGGCTTGCTCAGCAGACGCCTCTCTCTCTCTCTCTACACCTACTGAGGGCTGGTGCCCACCTCCACATGTGCCCTCAATTAGCAATTTAAGAAATTACGTAGTCCCCATGCATGCACACTGAGGGAGAAAAAGGGATCAGGCATGGTGCTTCTTAATGGTTTTTTTAATCTAAGCAGCAGGAGGCAGAGGCAGATGGAATCTCTGAATTTAAGGCAGCTTTGTCACACAGCAAGTTCCAGGGTAGCCAGGACTACATACAGAAATGATTTTTTGCCAGGCGGTGGTGGCGCACGCCTTTAATCCCAGGACTTGGGAGGCAGAGGCAAGTGGATCTCTGGGAGTTCGAAGCCAGCCTGGTCTACAAGAGCTAGTTCCAGGACAGGCACCAAAAACTACAGAGAAATCCTGTCTCGAAAAACCAAAAAAAGAAAAGAAAAAAAAAAAAGAAATGATTTTTTTTTATTCATTTTTGTTTTAAAGAACAAATGAAAGAAAGGGAAGGGCTGGAGAGATGGCTCAGAGGTTAAGAGCATTGTCTGTTCTTCCAAAGGTCCTGAGTTCAATTCCCAGCAACCACATGGTGGCTCACAACCACTTGTAATGGGGTCTGGTGCCCTCTTCTGTCCTGCAGGCATACACACAGACAGAATATTGTATACATAATAAATTAATACATATTTTAAAATAAAAAAAAAGAAAGGGAAAAAATGCCTCCCAGACATGCCACAGTCTAACGTGATCACTGGCTAATGTGATCTGGGCAATTCTTCAGTTGAGATTCTCTTTCTGGGTGACCCTAAGTTTGTGTCAGATTCACAGCTGAAAACAAGATATCTGGTGACAAGGGAGGATGGAGGCATTAGCAATGTCAGGTTTGTAGAGCTGGGGGCATGGCTCACCTGGTAAAGAACTTGCCACATGGCTGGGCTGTGGCACAGCTTTAATCCCAGCAAGCAGATCTCTGTGACTTCGAGGCCAGCCTGGTCTACAGAGCAAGTGCCAAGACAGGCTCCAAAGCTACACAAAGAAACCTTGTCTCGAAAACAAAAAACAAACAAAAAGAACTTGCTATATGTATAAGGACTGGAGTTCAGATCCTATAAAAACCTAGGTATGAAGATATACACCGGTAGCCTAACACTGGGGAGGAAGAGACGGGAGGGTTCCTGGAGTTTGCTGGCCAGCTAGATTGTCTAATAAGTTACAGGTTTAGTAAGAGACCCTGCCTCATATAAGGAGGAGAGAAGTATAGAAAGATCTCTAACATCGCATTTCACGGATATATGCACACACATACATCATGTACACAAGAGGAAAAAAGCAATGTGAGATTTGCAGCATCTTTAGAAAGAGCTCACAAGTTTCTTTATTTTCAAGCCCTTTGGATCAGAAATACAGCCTAGCAGTGTACTGCCTGAAGGAGGAGAAAGAAAAGCCAAAGAGGGTTCCTAGGGACGAAGCTTTCAGAGACACAGAAGGAGGCACTGCAGTGTGATCAGTGCAGCAAGTGAGGACTTTATAGGGACTGTGCAGGACAGCATGGTCAACAGAGTCAAGAGCTATGAAGATTTAGGGCCTAGGGATGTAGCTCAGTTGGTAAAATGCTTGCCTAGCATGCATACAGCTTTGGTTCAATCCCTAGTACTGCATAAACTGAGCATGGGAGCACATGACTACATATTGAATTCAAGGCTGGCCTGGATACATGAACTCCTATCTCAAAAAGTCAAGTAATTTTTTAAAAAAGTAGCAGAGATCAAAAGAGGTAAGAATTTGCAAGGCATAGCGGCACAGGTCTTTAATCCCAATACTTGAAAGGCAGAGACAGATAGATCCCTGTGAGTTCCATGCCAGCCTGGTCTACCTAGGAGCTTCCAGGACAGTCAGAGCTACAGGAGACTCTGTCTCAAAAACTAAAATGAGCAACAACAATAAAGATCAGTAAGAACTGACCCCTGCAGAGAAAAAAGGGGAATTTTTGGCAGTGAATGGGGTTGAAAAGCCCCTTTCAAAATGTGTGGTAGTTATAGAAACTCAGGGAGTAGAGGAAAAATTTCACATTAATGATATGAGGGAAGGGAGCTGCTTAATGTCCACTTGGGCAGGGGGAATCTGGGTGTGCTCCGTCTGTGTAAGTAAAAAGTTACCTAGCCCAGAATCAGCCCATCCCTGTGTATTTTCACATCTCACTGTACCAGCCCAGTTCTGATGGAGTCAGTAAATTGAAGTTTTCCTTGGAGTAGAGGTTTAGAAATGTCATTAAAGTTGACTGTTCTGCAAGCTTAGACAATTACCTTGTGACTTAGAACAGTTACCTTGATTCTGCAAGATGCGCAGCTTCTTGGGAAATGCCTGCTCCTCTGCTGAGAGTCACAACAGTCTTCTTCTGTTATAGCTCCAAGTACCAGCAGGACTGGCATGATGGGAAGAGCACAAGCTCTGGGTAGGGCAGCAATGAGTTCATGCAAAGTCCCTTGCTGGAGCACACAGGCTCTCTATCCAGGCAGTTCTATGTTGATCACACTGTGTTCATGAATGTCTGCAGGCTCTGAAGGAAGATGACAGGGGACCAAGGTTCCAAACAGTGTCAAAACAAATTGAACATACCAGGCAGGCTATCAGGCTCTTATCTCAGTCAATAGAATCGTGACTCACATTTGCAGAGTGAGGCTGGTGTCTGTGACCCTCCTGTTTTCATGCCAGGAGCCTCCTACAGCATAAGCATTAAGGGCTTCCTGGAGATGTAGGGAAGGTTCTCCATGTGTCATCAACACACAGGACACCATCTCAGAGTGGGAAGGAACACGCCATGGCCAGAGGTGAGCAGCCTGTGTATTCTTCCAAGTTGGGATTGTCCAAGTCCCCACGATTTGAGTGTCTAGGGTTGTCTTGCTGGTCACTAGGGGGACCAGTTGTTCTCACACACACACAGTGGGGCTCTTTGGCCCCTGGCTTATACATCTTCCTGGGGACACCAATCCAGTCTCTGGTCACACCTCCACTAGGAAAAAGGGAAAGACGATTTCTTAAAAGCACAAACATACAAGTCCCTGGGGCAAGAGGAAGAAATAATTGCAGGGTATTATGAAAAGGAAATGCCCTTCATTCCACTTCTCTCAACTTCATTCATTCTGGGCCATAAGCTCTCCTCTTCCTCTGGCTTTCCACACACAATGCTAATACTACCACCTCCAGAAGGAAGCAAGAGATCATGTCCCTTTCATTGTGCTTTTGCCTCAGCCCCTTTTCTTTCTCAAGCAACAGCAATGTCACTTCCCTGAACTGGTGGCTAGAGACTGAGAAGTCTCCCTGACTAGTCAGTGAGCAGCCCTGTTCCTCTTTTCTTTACATCCATGCTCAACAGCAACTTCATCTTTGGGCTCGGAGCACTTGACAGGGTGGACCTTGATATTTGTGTGGCAGCAAGCTGTGCTGGCTCTGCCTGGATCCAACTCCTGAGATTGCCAGGTTTTAGGGAAGAAGGATCCCAGTCTGGCCCAGCATACCATGGCAACCTCCTGTCCTGGGCGAAGAACCTAACTTACTTCAGGTACTGCATCTGATCTCTGACAGACTCAGAGGCCTTGCAGAAGGAAAGTGACATTCATGAAACTGACCCTGGGCTCCAGTGCTTAGGACCAGGATCGCAGACTGGTGGAAGAACTGGCACTGTTAGAAAGCATTTCACTTGTATCTTATCCATGAGCAGAGCTGCTTCGGCACCAAAATGACTCCCTTCTCAGTTCACCTGTCTATTCCACAGTGACTGTTACTCTACACCTGGTCCCTGCTCACAACGCTCCTTTCAGAGATGCACACCAGCAAACAACACTGGGTTGAGGCTCAGGAACAGGTCTGGAAGGACTCTGTGGAAAGGCATGGCCTGAGCGATTCAGTCCTGCATACCAGGGAGTTCATGATCCGGAAGAATCTTGGGGGAGGGGAGGCTCTCAAGGGGTACAGGAAGCATCTAATTGTGCACCACAGGTTTCTAGCACCTCCTACGATTACCAGTGTCCTCTGAGTCTACCTGTATCCAGGATTGTGTTCCAAGAAGGACATCCAGATCCCAGACTGTCCTGGTAAGTGGGAGGCTAGGCTCCAACGGTACCATAAAAGCTCTGTCTCTGAACCTTCACTTTACTCCCCCAAAGAAAAGCAGAATGGATGGGAACAGTGGCTATACTTGGAGAAAGCTGGTGGCTTTGACTGTTTGCTTCTGCTCACTCAATGGATGGATAGATCCCTGACAGAAGAAGGCAGCTCTAAGCTGGGTGGTGGTGGCACATGCCTTTAACTCCAGCACTGGTCTATAAGGAGAGTTCTAGCACAGCCAGGACTATTAGAAAAAGAAACCCTATTTCAAACAAACCAAAACCAAAACAAACAAAAAAGGTAGCTCTACATAGCTTAGAATGTAGGAATGCAGCCCCTCTCCCCAATCCTCCTCAATAAGAGCTTGACTGTCAGTTTGATCCTTGGAGTCTGGGACCCTTGTCCAGATTCTGGTTTCCACTGTCACCTTACCAGAGCTAAAGGAGATGTGAGAAAGTGGAGCTGAAGTTTGAATGTGGTTGACCAGATAGTTAAAAGAACATTTGGAATAATTTCTATAGCCCCACTCACTGTACTGTGTTTGAGCAGGAAGAGACTTCTATCTAGTCTGCACTTCCTGGAAATACTCAGGGTACTAGTGTTTGTTTTTTTTAATGGTTTGTTGCTTTCTTTTTTCTTTCTTTCTTTCTTTCTCTCTCTTTCTTTCTTTCTTTCTTTCTTTCTTTCTTTCTTTCTTTCATGTGTACAACATTCTGCCTCCATGAATGCCCACACACCAGAGGAGGGCGCCAGATCTCAGTACAGATGATTGTTAGCCATCATGTGGTTGCTGGGAATTGAACTCAGGACCTCTGGAAGAACAGCCAGTGCTCTTAACCACTGAGCCATCTCTCCAGCCCCCTGTTGCTTTGCTTTTAATGGAGCTCAGGATTGAACACAGGGCCATGTTCTAAGCAAGAGCTCTACCATTAAGCTATACTCTAATCACCACAGTGCTTTAACAACATCTGGAGATATAGCTCAGTTGGCAGAGTACTTGCCTAGTTCGCACAAAGCCCTGAGTTCAAACACTAGTACTGCATAAGCCAAGTATGATGGTGATGGATACTGGTAATTCCTGTCTCAGTAGAGACAGAAGGATCAGAAATTCAAGGTCATCCTTGAACAGAGAGTTCAAGGCCAGTGTAGGATTGTCACCTGTGATTGTTTTGCAAAGAAAATAAAAATAAAACAGTACCCAAGGGCATCAGAGAATGGGTCCACCTCCCACAGCACTCTCCTGCAGGCAGGAGTAATTTGTGCTGACAGACTGGAAACTGAGGACCATCTCTGGCTGAACAGGCAGAAGTGGTCAAGAAACAGTACATGAGCTAGAGAAAGCTCAGCTGATAAGAGCACATGTTGCTCTTCTTTTATTTTTATTTTTTATTTTTTTTTCGAGACAGGGTTTCTCTGTGGCTTTGGAGCCTGTCCTGGAACTAGCTCTGTAGATCAGGCTGGTCTCGAACTCACAGAGATCCGCCTGCCTCTGCCTCCCGAGTGCTGGGATTAAAGGCGTGCGCACTGCCCGGTCACATGTTGCTCTTCGAGAGGACTTAAGTTTGGTTCGCTGCACCCACACTGGCAGCTCACAACATCCTGTACCTAGAGTTCCGGGGAACACACCACACTGGCAGCTCACAACAACCTGTAACTGGAGTTCCGGGGAACACACCACACTGGCAGCTCACAACATCCTGTAACTGGAGTTCCGGGGAACACACCACACTGGCAGCTCACAACATCCTGTAACTGGAGTTCCGGGGAACACACCACACTGGCAGCTCACAACATCCTGTAACTGGAGTTCCGGGGAACACACCACACTGGCAGCTCACAACATCCTGTAACTGGAGTTCCGGGGAATACACCACACTGGCAGCTCACAACATCCTGTAACTGGAGTTCCAGGGACACACCACCTTCGGACTCTTGGGCACTTACACTAACATGCGCATATCCACACATACATGATTTTTTTGGTTTATCTTTTTATGTTATATGTATAAGTGCTTTATCTGTATGTAAACATGTATATACTATGAGGACTTGACTTTGTAAACTCCATTTTAAAGAAGGGGCTTCATCTTAAGCCATATAATGAGCTGGGGGGTGGGCGACCTCAGCTGCAGAAATGTGCTGCCACAGCAGAAACATGAACAGATACCCTAAAAATGGCCAATTCAGAAGAAAGGGAGCAAGACCATAAAACTGAACGAGGTCCAGATGATCTTGGAAGACATTCTGTCCTTGAAGAATCCTTGTCAGTAATTTATGGCTTTGTTAGGTTTTCGTGCCAAAAATCTGACCAATGGGTTCAGAAACTACCTTATCCTATGTCCTCCTCACCCAATCGCAAGATGACAGGACTCAAACTCTCCTGGCTATGGTGTTCCCCCTTTAAGTTAGTTTTCCCCTTCCGTGGGTTCGGGGTTGTACTTCCCTCACCCACTGCGCATTGGTGTGGTGGAGGTGTGGTCCAAACTGGAGGCCAGCCTGGGTTACAAGAGCTAGGACAGGCTCCAAAGCTACAGAGAAACCCTGTCTCAAAAAAAAAAAAAAAAAAAAAAAAAACAGCCGGGCGATGGTGGTGCACGCCTTTAATCCCAGCACTCGGGAGGCAGAGGCAGGCGGATCTCTGTGAGTTCGAGACCAGCCTGGTCTACAAGAGCTAGTCTCCACAGAGAAACCCTGCCTCAAAAAAAACAAAAACAACAACAACAACAAAAAAAAACAAACCAAAAAACCCTCATGTAATTTGCATCGGAAATCTGGCTCCGGTAATTTATTTGGGGACCAGAAACTTGGACATAACAGTACATGTGTTCCTGATGCCTTTGGACATCTAAAGAGGACATCAGACCCGCTGGCATTGGAGTTATGGGTGGCTGCAAGTCATCAGTGGGTACCAGGTCCTCTGTAGGAGTAACAAGTGTTCTTAAGCATTAAGCCATCTCTCCAACCCCGTATATATACAATTAAAAATAAAAAAAATTATGAAAATTTATGGGCCACAAAGATGGCTCAGCAGTTAAGAGTACAGCTACTTTTGCAGAGGACCTGGGTTAGATTCTTAGCATCCACATGGCTGCTTTCAACTGCCTATAACTTTAGTTCCTGGAAATTCAATGTCCTTTTCTGGCCTCTGCAGGCAACTGCATATACAGACATTCCCACATACACATTAAATAAACTGAATTTTAGGGGCTGGAGAGATGGCTCAGAGGTTAAGAGCATTGCCTGCTCTTCCAAAGGTCCTGAGTTCAATTCCCAGCAACCACATGGTGGCTCACAACCATCTGTAATGGGGTCTGGTGCCCTCTTCTGGCCTGCAGGCATAGACACAGACAGAATATTGTATACATAATAAATTAATAAATATTAAAAAAATAAATAAATAAACTGAATTTTAAAAAAGAAAAGAAATAGTACCTGCGCCATTCAAGTACCAGACCAGCATTTCTCCTTTAGCAGGATCTCTGGGAGACTGAGGGGTAAGGAAAGAGGCCCATGCATTTCTCAACACTAGGTTTTCATTCAGTTACTAAAGGTTCTACTATCAGGATTTTTCTTTAATTCCCCATCTTGTGGTTTGAATATGACGTTTCCAACAGGTTCATATATTTGAATACTTGGTTCCCAGCAGCTAGAGCAGTTTGGGGAGGTTGTAGAACCTTTGATACTAAGACTTACCTAGAAGTTACTAGCTGGGGCAGGCCTTAAAGGCTATGTCTGCTTCTGGTTCTGCAACAAACTCAGCTTCCCCATTTACAATGATATGAGACCTGATAGCTACACATCTCAATGGCCACAGACCAAGCTGCTCTACCATACTTTCCCTGCCATAGTGGACTGTACACTCTACAACCATAAAACTGGTTAAAAATTTCTCCCCTTAAATTTCTTCTTTCAGGTATTTTTATCACAGTAAGGAAATGGATGGAACTCAGAAGACCTAACATGCAGAGCTCATGTAAGTTCCCTAGCTTAGCAGTCAATTCTGGATTCCCTGGATCACAAATAAATAAATAAATAATAAAAGGATGGCTTAGAAGATGGATTCAGGAGAGGTGGAAGAGCAGAAAGGTAGCCTGCTTACCTCTTTTGGGAGCACCACACCCGGCCACCCTTGGCGGAGCTCCACTCGGCATTACATGGAGGGAACTTGTGCTTTTCTCTCTGTTGCTGTTCATTTGCTTCCATGCCTTTAGTTACCATGGCCTCTACCTGTGTTAGTTCTGACGTGGGAAGCCCATCCTCTCTGTAGAACCTTCCTACCAATCTCCCTAGGATAACAAGGAAAAAGGTCAAGAGAGGATAAGTCAAATAAACCCTTTTCTCTCCAAGTTCCTTGTGGGCATGGTGTTTTATCACATCAACAGGAACCCTAAAACAGAAACTGACACCAAAATCATGGAATATTGCTATGACAGACCTGGCCAGTTGTTTTTGGGAGGATTGTAGGACTTTGGAACTCTGGGCTAAAAAAGCCATTGAGCGTTCAAAGCTTATTCTATGGGAGCTTGGAAAATAAAGAGTGTTGAGAGAAACAAAGATAATGGAGACTCGCTTGTGAAGTTCCAGAATCACTTAAAGACTCAAGGGGGCTGGAGAGATGGCTCAGTGGTCTTCCAGAGGTCCTGAGTTCAGGTAGCTAACAACCATCTGTAATGAGATCTGGTGTTTTTGTTCTGGCATGCAGACAAAACACTGTATATATAACAAACAAATAAATAAATAGGAAAGACTATCAAGGCCATTTACTATTTTGAGTTTAGAATCTGTGGTTCTGGTTAGCTAGAGCTAAAGAGTCAGCTAGCTGCCAATATGGAAATGATCAAGTTTTTATCACCACCAGATCACATCAGTTCCCTGAGAACAGAATCATGAGGGTGTTTGGGGGAACACTACGTATTTAGTAAATGCTGGGTGAATATACAGTTTATTAGTTCATATTTTTCTGGGTCTATGTCAAATTACTTTGTCTTACAGAACTATTTAGTTAGTTAGACCACCCAGACTGGCCCATGCTTTCTCCTCCACCACTTTCTTCTGATTCAGTCTTTAGTGGATATTAATTTTTAAATTAGCTTTCAAATTTCTTAATATTTAAGCTATGAAAGCAACTACCAAGTGGTTGCAGCTTACAGACAGCACAAAAAAAAAAAAAAGGTTCAGTTCTCTGTGAGTACCATGGCTTGCTGTGTCTAAGTCCTAAGGTGCAAAAGGTCTCTTAAAAGGCACCACTTTCAGTCAGGCAGTAGTAGCACATGCCTTTAATCCCAGCACTTAGGAGGCAGAGACAGGAGTATCTCTGTGAGTTCGAGGTCAGCCTGGTCTACAAAAGCTAGTTCCAGGACAGGCTCCAAAACTACAGAGAAACCCTGTCTTGGAAAAACCAAGAAAAAAAGAAAAAGAAGAAAAAAAGGCACCACCTTCCTGGATGGAGGAAGCCCCAGAAAACATTTCAAGGAGCTTTGATCAAGATGGAGGTAGTGTGGTTAGCTATCCCAGCGGTGTGGGTCAACAACTGAGCTGAACTGAGGTTCCAACGGAAAGGCCTAGACTTCATTCATACTCTCAAGTACCACTCATCCCCTTACCAATTTTCTTGTGGTTTTACTTTAAATTAGAAATGTCTTCTATAGGCGTAGGCATTTGAACACTTGGTGCCTAGTTGGTGGTGCTACTTGGAAGGTAGTATAGACTTGCTAAATAAAGTGTGTTGCGGGGGGCTGGAGGATGGCTCAGCGGTTAAGAGCAGGCATGCCCTTCCAAAGGTCCTGAGTTCAATTCCCAGCAACCACATGATGGCTCTCAACCATATGTAATGAGGTCTGGTGCCCTCTTCTGGCCTTCCAGTTGATACCCTCTCTCTGATCTGTGATTATACTTAAAGATGTGATCTCTCAGTTTCCTGATTAATGGCCTGCTGCCATGCTTCTGCTGACATTATGGACTTTCTTTCTAGAACCATTAGGTCCAAATAGAGTTGTCTTGGTCCTGATAATTTATCACAGCAACAGAAACTAATACATCTCTCAGGCCATCTATGTCAAGAGCAGTGGATCTCTCCTGATCCCTTCCCATTCAGATATGCACTTCCCTTCATTCGTGGCTAATGGGCAAATCTTGTCGGTTCTCTGAAGTATATTCTGATTCTGTTCATTCCTGTCGATTTCCACTACTGCCACCTTATTCAAAACACAGAGTAAGACAACAGCCTTCCTGATGTGGTCTGCAGCTCAAGCTTTCCTATAGTACCTCCTCCACAAGGCTTCCGGGGCATTTCCCACCTAGTGCTCAGACCAGAACTAGGGTTCCATACATGGGAAATGTGTGTTCTACCATTAAGGCATGTCCTTACCTAGTAACCTTGAATTTATTTCAAGACAGGGCCTCACTCTCTAGCCTAGGCTAGAATCTCCTGACTCAGATTTGCAAATTTATGATGCTCTTTTTACTTTTTAATTTTTATGTGTGTGAATGTTTTGACTGAACCTCTATCTGTGCACCACATGCATTCAGAGCCCAGTGGGGATCAGAAAAGGGTATTAGATCCCATGGAACCAGTTATGGATGACTGTGAGCTACCGTGTGGTATTGGGAACTGAATCTGGTACTCTAAAAGAGGAGCCAGAGGCTGGAGAGATGGCTCAGTGGTTAAGAGCATTGCCTGCTCTTCCAAAGGTCCTGAGTTCAATTCCCAGCAACCACATATTGGCTCACAACCATCTGTAATGAGGTCTGGTGCCCTCTTCTGGCCTGCAGGCATACACACAGGCAGAATATTTTATACATAATAAATAAATATTTTTTTTAAAAAAAAGAGGAGCCAGTGTTCTTAACCCCTGAGCCATCTATCTCTCCAGCTCCTTAAGTATTCTTTTTCAACATAAACCATTCATCACTGCTATGCCCGACTAAAACCCTCTAGTAGCTACTCAAAGCACAGAAGAACATACAAACTTCTTACCTAGGCCTCCAGGTTCCACCAGCCTTTCGTCCACTCTGCCTCTTCTTAGGTCACTTGCTCCCTCATTCCTGTGGGCTCCAGCACGTACTCCAGGCCTTGCTGATACCCACCCCAGGCACCACTGCTTCCTCAGCCTGCTACACTCTTGCCAAATCTCAGTATGGCTACCCTTCCTTCTGCTAGGTTCCATTTTGCTGTCATCAACTCCAAGAAATCTCCCTTGGCTACCAGCTCCAAAGGTAATTCCAGCCCCCAAGCATGCATCCATGTTTTATTCACAGTCCTGAATTGAGATGTCAAAGTGTCTTGTGAGGCCCAGTACTCAAAACAACTTCTACAGAGCATCTGTTTTCTCTTTTATTTTTTTTCAACCACATGGTGGCTCACAGCCATCTGTCATGAGATCTGGTATCAGAGCATCTGTTTTAAATGTGTGCTACATGAATACATCAAGAATCAGGACCTTAGTGCCAGATTAGAAGTCTTTAGATTGGCTTATCACAAAACTTTTTGGGTACACAGGGCTTCGTATGGCATGGGATGAGTCAATCTTGCTGAGCATTAGACATGGTATCTAAAGAGAGAATAGCAGGAGCAGAGGCAGCATTTCAGATGCTGTATTATGAGAACAGGTTTAGCAGCTGGGTCTCTAAGTGTGTGTCTAGATCATAATAAAAGTCGCATCTTTCCTTGAGGTCCAGCAGTGCAACTACGACGATAGCTCCTTAACTGTGTTCAAGTCAATATGCACCTTGGGAATTTCTTTACCCTCTGATATCCCTGAAGGTCTTAGATGATGGAGGAAGGTCATTGGTTAAAAAATAAAGAAACTGCTTGGCCCTCATAGGTTAAAACATAGGTGGGTGGAGTAAACAAAACAAAATGCTGGGAGGAAGAGGAAGTGAGCTAAGATGCTTCAGACAGACGCCATGCTCCCCTCTCCCGGGCAGACATGTTGAAGCTCCGACCCAGGATGGGCGTAGACTAGAATCTTCCCGGTAAGCGCACCTTGGGGTGCTACACACATTATTAGAAAAGGGCTAGTCCAGGTGCGAGAGTTAGCCGAGAAGAGGCTAGATATAATGGGCCAAACAGTATTTAAAAAAATATAATTTGGGGGCTGGAGAGATGGCTCAGAGGTTAAGAGCACTAGCTGCTCTTCCAGAGGTCCTGAGTTCAATTCCCAGCAACCAAATGGTGGCTCACAACCATCTATAATGAGATCTGGTGCCTCTTCTGGTGTATATATGTTAACAGAACATTGTATGCATAATAAATAAATCTTTTAAAAAAATACAATTTGTGTGCTGTTATTTCGGGGCATAAGCTAGCCAAGCGACCAGGAGCTGGGGCGGCAGGAATGCAACCCGCAGCTCCCACAACAGAAAGATGATATAGATATAAAAAATTAGCATTGGTGTAGATTTTAAGGTCAATTTTGTTATATGTATATGTATTCCTGATCTTGATTAAGGTATTGTGATTATGTAGTTCATTTAAAAATGTAATGTATAATTAGGAAATATAGGTTGTTAATGGATAATCATTAATAATAGTCAAGTTTGTAGTCATGTTAGTTAAATTTTCTAAATATATAGATATATAGTTCAGTTAGATCGACATTCTTCCTATCTTTCAAAGACTACAAAATATGCTATTTAATGTTTTAATAACTTAGGGTTTTTCATGACAATGCTTAGAGGTCCCCATGTCAAAGCTTTGGCAGGAATTGCACTGAACACACTCCTGTGTTGTGGAATATTTGTACACTGTATGAAGATGCAGTGTTGTGATTGGTGTAATAAAGAGCTGAATGGCCAATAGCTAGGCAAGAAGATGTTAAGTGGGACTTTTGGGGACAGAGAGGACTCTGGGAAGGACAGAGATGCCAGGAGACACTGAGAGGAAACAGGAGGTACAAGATGGAAGAGAGGTAACGCCATATGATAGAACACAGATTAATATAAATGGGTTCATTTAAGTTATAAGAGCTAGTTAGGAACAAGCCTTAGCTATGGACAGAGCTTTCATAATTAATAATAAGTCTCCGTGTCATTATTTATGAGCTGGTGGCCCAAAGGAATGTCCAACTACATTCCTGAGGCTCTGCAGCACAGTGAGGATCACAGCTGCAATACTACTTACAGCTGACTGTATCCTGACTAACCGAAACTCTCCCCGTGGGCTTTCCAACCATGCGCCCCCACCACATTCCCCATTGTTACTGTGATGTACTCATTTCCAAGCACATCAGGAGAACTAGTCTGCTTGCTACTGAAAACCAGTTCCTGGGATTTGGTATGGCAGCCTTTGTTAAGTCTTAGGATTCCATTCTTACTCATCTTTGCTGCTTTCTTTTTCATTGGATAGATATATGATTTTATTTCAGAAGAAAATAGTCTTGAAACAGAAATGTCTTATAATAAAATTGTTACTAAACATCCAAAGTAAAAACAAAACAAAAAAATTACCCCAGGCTTGATGGCTCACATCTTTAATCCCAGGACTCAGGAAGCAGAGGCAGGCAGATCTCAGAGTACGACATCAGCCTGGGCAACACAGTCGGACACTGTATCAAACAAAACAAAACAAATAAAAAACCCAAACAAACAAACAAACAAAACCCAAGCTGTACATAGTGGTACATGCTTCTGGAGTCCCAATACATGGGTGAGATATTTGTACACTGCGTGAAGATGATTGGTATAATAAAAATCTGAATGGCCAATAGCTAGGCAGGAGGTATAGGTGGGACTTCCAGGCAGAGAGAGAGAAAGTGGAGGAGGAGAAATCTCGAGAAATCATGAGCTCACCAGCAGACCTGGACAAAGTTGGAAGTACTATACTAAGAGGTAACTGAGTCAAGTGGCAAAATGTAAATAAAAAAATATGGGTTAATTAAGTTATAAGAGCTAGTTGGGGAAAAGCCTAAGCTAAGGCCAAGCTTTTATAACTAATAAAAAGTTTCTGAGTCGAGCCGGGCGATGGTCGCACATGCCGCAGGGCGGTGGTGGCCCATGCCTTTAATCCCAGCACTCGGGAGGCAGAGGCAGGCGGATCTCTGTGAGTTCGAGGCCAGCTTGGTCTACAAGAGCTAGTTCCAGGTCAGGCTCCAAAGCGACAGAGAAACCCTGTCTCGAAAACCGAAAAAAAAAGTTTCTGAGTCACTATTTGTGGGCTGGCAGTCCAAAGACAGTCCGACAAGAAAGCCTGCTACATTTGGGACACTTAATCCAGGATCAGGACTTCAATGCCAACATCAGCTATGCAACAAGTTTGAGGCCAGCCTGGGTTCTATGAGACCTTGTTCCAAAAACCAAGAAAAATAAAAACATAAAACAAAACCTCACCATAAAATATCAGCTAGACCTCAAGAATAACTCTGACCCATTTGAGCATAAGTGAAGCTGAATATGATTCTTTCTTTCTTTCTTGATTTGTTTACTTTTATTTTATATGCAGTGGTGTTTTGCCTCTGCGTGAGAATGTATTTTGGAGTTAGTATTGAGCTGCATGTGGACGCTGGGAAAGTCCAGTTCTTTCTTTTTTGATTTATTTACTTTTAAATCATTTCTGATAAAGGCTGAAAGTAGAAACAAAGCCCAACCCTACCTGGTCATAAGCAGTGAAACAACTTAGGACTCTATGACCAGGGACTTTCCGACAGGCTAACAGAATTAAAAAAGTGTGGCCTAGAGATGAAGCTTGGTCTGTAGGGCTGCTTGCCTCGCATTCAGGGCTTCATTCGGGCAGCAACATTTCAGCTGTCACTTGGCAACATCATGGAGAATAGGAAGAAACAGGTGCAGCGAGTACAGAGGAACCATCTAGGACAGACTAAGGGAACATGGGAAGGTGTGTGAACGTGGGATGCGGAAGAGCAACGGTGGATGACGATGAGGAACAAAGGAGAGTGGAATGGAAAGACCTTATAAAATCAGAGCTTGAACAACTGGATGTCGAGTAGAGGAGTTAAGGAAAATACCAGGATTCTCAGAATAAGAAGCCCAAGCAGTAATGAAAGCAAGCCTTTAGAGGCATTAGGGGCAGTAAATTCCAACCTAGACCTGTTCCAGTGGTAAAAGGACAGTGGTATCTGCAAGAAGTCAATCATGCCCACGTGGAGCTCCATGAGAGGTGGGGCTACACAGACCAAAGGATTGGCCTCAGCCATCCCAGCTTTTGGTGCTTAGGAAAGACTGTAGTGATCAGTGTCTGTCAGTTGTCTGCTCATTTAGAGTTGTGTTCCCTTATGTACCATCAGTAAGCAACAAGTGCAGGACAACACACAACTGGCATTAATTCATGACATGGAGGTAATAGGATCAGGGACTCAATGCGAGCCTGATCTATATAGTGAGTTTGAGACCAGCTAGGCCACACGAAACCCTGAATGAATGAATGAATGAATGAGTGATAAATAAATGTATGATGAGCAGAACTTCGATCTTAGAAACAGTTCGCTCAGGATGTGTGCTTCATCAGCGAGCAATCAAGGGGAAGCATCAGAACCACACACAAGTGGCTTCAAGCCATCCTGACTTACTGGACCACAGGGAGGCTGCCTGTTCACATCCAACACAGACGACATTGACTGAGGGCCACTGACGTCTCAGTACAATGCCTGGCAATCCTCTCCCGAGATTAACCACAACTTCATCTTCTGGGTATTACTCCTGCACTAACAGCAAAAATTTAACATGAAAAACCCAGGCTGGTTTCAAATTTTTACCTTGAACCCAGTTCCTAAAGAATCCAGGTTCCCTGAGAAATACAGCAAAATAAGCAACTGAAATCTATAGCAATGGTCAAAGACTACATACCGATAAATACATAATTTTTCTCGTAGAATGAAAGCCAATTGTGAAGTATCAGTATCTCAGAGGAGGACAAGCCAGTGACATCATCCACGAGGCCAGCTTCAGAATAGTCTCCTGTCACAAAGGCTCTGGATGCATCCCGGCCTTTAGAAAAGAAGTTGCCAAAGATTCGGTTAAAAATCACAATTATTGTACCAAGTAAAACTTCCATTTTTTTGTTTTGTTTTTCAAGACAGGGTTTCTTTCTATAACCCTGGCTGTCCAGGAACTCTCTATAGACAAGGTTGGCTTTGCACTCAGAGATCCGACTGCCTCCGCCTCCCAAATTCTGGGATTAAAGGTATGCCACCACCATCCTGCAAAACTTCCATTTTCTTAAAAAGCATGTACTAACAACCCCTAGTCTTCACTCCCGGGGACTCCTGGACCAGGGACATGAATTTTTGGCAACTGTTATCCACTTGTTTTGCTTGTTTTTTTAAAATTTTATTTATTTATTATATACACAATATTCTGTCTGTGTGTATACCTACAGGCCAGAAGAGGGCACCAGACCTCATTACATATGGTTGTGAGCCACCATGTGGTTGCTGGGAATTGAACTCAGGACCTTTGGAAGAACAGGCAATGCTCTTAACCTCTGAGCCATCTCTCTAGCCCTGCTTGTTTGTTTTTGAGACAGGGTCTTATTATGTAATTTGGTTTGGTCTAGAGCTTGATATGGAGACCAGGCTGGCCTGATCACACAGAGCTCAGCCTGCCTTCCAAGTTCTGGGAATAAAAGTGTGCACCACCATATCTGGCCCATCTCAAAATGATAACTTCTGGCTTCCATGATACTCCACACCTGGTTTTCCCGGCACTTCATTGTCTGTTTAGCTATAGGGATCAATTATTATCTGCACCTTCTCACTTGACCATTCTATCTTATCCACCCGTGTGGTTTCAAATCTCCATCTAAACTATACATTTAGCCCAGGCATTTCCTGAGCACTAAACATGCATATCCAACTTCTACTCAATGTCACTTAGCTGTCTCACAGCCATCACAAGTTCAAAAAGCCTATCTCGAGATATTGATCATCAGCTCCAGGAAATGGTCATTTAATCTTATCTAGTGTTCCTTATCAACCAGTTGCCCCATCTCTAAATGCAGGCTTGATATCTCTTTTATCCCTCACATCTAATTATTGCCAGAGTTTATTCTTAATAAATAGTTGCTGTATTCATACACTGTTGCTACCTGCTACCAAACAATCCCAGTCTGCCACCGTCTCTCAGGCGAACTACCACCGAGGTCCTAGTGGGACCACATTTCATCCTACCAAACTATTCTCCAGGTAACATTCAGACTAGTATTTATTATTATAAACTTTGTGTGTGTGTGTGTGTGTGTCTCATGTGTATGCATCTCTGTGTCTGTGCGCAAATGTGTAAGGGGCCTGACGAGGGCACTGGTCTCTTGAAATTGAAGCAGCAGGCAGTTGTGAGTCATCCAACATTGGTGTTAAGATCTGAATTCAGGTGCTCTGGAAAAACAGCAAGCACTCTTAACCAATGAGTCTATCTCTAGCAATAGACTGTTTTAGTGATTGTTTTTTGAGACAGGGTCTTATGATGTAGCTCTAGCTGCTCTGTACTTGCTACAAAGATCAGGCTGGCCTAGAATTCAGACACTGGCCTATCTGTCTCAGTACTGGGATTAAAGATGTGTGTCATTATGCCCAGCTCCCTAGACTGATATTTTGTTTTTTGGTTTTTCAAGTCAGGGTTTCTCTGTGTAGCCCTGGCTGTCCTGGAATTTGCACTGTAGACCAGAGTGGCTTTGAACTCAGAGATCTGCTTGTCTCTGCCACCCAAGTGCCAGGATTAAAGGCATATGCCACCTCATCTGGCTCTAAACAAAGAATACTTGTCGCTGGACAGTGGAGACACATGCCTGTAATCCCAGTACTCAGGAGGCAGATGGGGGAAGATCTCAGTGAGTTTGAGGCCAGCCTAGTCTACAGAGCAAGGTCCAGGACAGCCAGGGCTACACAGAGAAACCCTGTCTTGAAAAACAAAAGAAAATAACAACAAAAAGAAAAAGAAAGAAAAATCACCAAGTCATTTTCTGCCAAAATCCTCAGTGCCTCCCTCTGCCTTATGAGAATATCCAAAATCCTTAACTCAGTAGCATTTGCCACTAACCTCATCTAGTTACTTTGTCCATCGCTCACTGCACTGTCTTCCTCTCTTTCCTGCTCTCTGACTAGGTTAGAGGCTCTGGTAAAACTTACTTTTTCCTTTAAAAACATATTACAAAACAGGGCTTTAGTAAGAGATGGTTCAGCCAATAAAAGTACTTGTTTGCAAATGTGCAGACCTGAGTTTGGATTCCTGGCACCCAGGAGAAATCAAGTCACAGCAGTGCATGCTCGTCATCTCAGCACTGGAGAGGCTGAAGGAGAAGACAGCACTTTAAACCCCAAGGATGGCTACAATAAAAAGACATTAGGAGTCAGGACTGCTGTGCATTCAGTGACAGTGTGGGCTACACAATGAGATTTCATCTAAAAATGGAGTAGGGGAGAAACTGGGCACATGTTTTAGCAATAGAATACTTGTTTAGCATGTATGGCACCTAATATTAGAAAACAAAACGAAGCTTTTAACAAGTTTTGGCAGGGATGTGTGGGGAAACTGAAACTCAAATGCATTCCTTGTGGGACTATACAGTGGTGCAGAGACATTAAAGGGAATTTGGCAGTTTCCCAAAAGTTAGCAATCACCATGTGAGACAGCAAATCCACATCTAGATACATACTAAGGAAACTGACAACATATTCACCAACGTTAATACGGGAGATCTCTATAAAGGTGAAAACAGGGCCAGCAAGATGGCCAAGTGGATACAAATGCTGGTTGTCCAAGTCTGACAACTGGAGTCTAACCACTGGAACAGAGGTATAAAAGCCAAATGCAGTGGTGTGCATCTGTAATCCCTACACTCCCACAGCAAGGGCAGAGATAGAAGCAGGCCAGTCGGTCTCAAATACACAGCTAGGGAGAAACAAGAACAAGGCGGGAACTGAGTCCAGATTTTCTCCTGAACTTCGTATGTCCAAGCTGTGGCACACACACACTGTAAGCATACACACTGACCAAATAAAATTCTTAAAGTGGAAATAACTCAAATCTATCAAATGCAGTATTTAAACATGCAATTATTATTTGGTCATAAAAAAGAATGAGCGCTCAGTGTGGTGGCAAAAGCCTTTAATCTTTGCGAGTTCCAGGCCAACCAGGGCAATGTAGTAAGACCCAGTCCTAAAAAAAAAAATGGATTGGCCATATGATGATAAACTACAGATGAACCTTAAAATCTCTAAGCCGAGTAAAAGCCAGACTAAAAAAGAACATGTGTCAGGTGTGTGATTCTACTTACAGAAGGGCAAATCAGTAGGAGCAGAATGTATGCAGGAAGTGCTAGGGGCTGTGGGGAGGTAGAGAAGGGAGAGGGGTTGCTGATGGGCAGTTTCCTTTGAGGAAGAGCAAAATGTTCTGAAATTAGATGGTGATGTTATACTTGTACACTTTAAAATAAGTTTCTGTGATAATTATACCTCAAAAAGAAAATACTGACTGCATAAGTGAACACGTCTGCTTTCCTAATAGACTGTGTGACAGTCGGAGACATCTTGGATTCTTCAGCACCTGGCCAAGGGAGGACCCATGGTAGCAGTCAATAAATGGAGGTGAAATACTGCATACACAGGGCTCAACAGATACCAGTACATACTGGATAAGGATCACCCCAGAGGTGGAAGTGTTATGCCAACACTTGTGCATACATCCGCGACAGCAGTGTCCGATGGAGGTAGGCTCGTGCACTCAAATGGCAAGATTCCAGACCAGCTTTGCTTCTACCTCTCTCTGACCCTGGGTAGGTCCCTTGCTCTTCTGGGCTGTCTGACATCTAGAGAAGGAACTGAGTGATCTGTAATAAAATGCAGCTTCCTAATTCTCCTAAATGATCAGTGGCCAGCTTGAAATTTGTATCAGCCCAGTCACCAGCCTTAGACTTGCCCTGCATTTTACTTCCCCAAACAAAGTGAGAGGCAGTTTCTTTGGCTAGAAAAGCAACATCTTTAAAATTACTAGGCGCTGGAGAGCTGGCTTGGTGGTGAAGAGCAGCGGCTGCTCCCCCAGATGGCCCAGGCTCCTGGCACCCTTAATGCACATCACAACCATCCACACCTCCAGGTCCAGGGGATTCGAAAGCCTCTTCTGGCCTCCCTGGGCACCAGGCACATAGGTGGCTCAGTGATGTACAAGCAGGTAAAACACACACACACACACACACACAAAATTTTAAGACAAATTTAAACATTAGGCTGGAAGTTCTACCCATATCTTCTAAGGACTTTAGTCAAATGACATTGTTCAGTCCCTTCAGTTGTTAAAAGGAGGGAGGGAGGGATGACAGCAGAATGAAATTAATTAGATAAATGTTCTTAGGAGGACTAACATATGCAATTTTATTCTAAGTTTTGTTTCGTCTTGTTTTTGAGCCAGCCTGGCCACAAATACCTGGCTCAGCGAATCTTCCTAGCTTAGGGATTCTTCCTGTCTCAGCCACTCCAATAGCCAGGACCACAAAATACCACTTCTGGCTTACTGTAGGTATTAAAAAGACTATAAGGGTTACTTGCTTTCCTGTGCTCTAACTTCACCCCCCCCCCTTCATTATCTTTTAAGAAAAGCAGACAAGTGCATCGACTAGAACCAAAAACGACTCAAATTCATTTTAGGGGAGACGGGGTGGGCGAAGCAAAGGTTATTTCGGATCACTCTAAAGTGACTGAAAGCACGGGAGCTCTACAGCCCAGGTAGACTTCTGAATGTACCCATTAACTAACGAGACGCATCTTACTCTAAATCAGTCACACAAAGCGTGAGGGTACGTAACTAGCCGAGCCGCAAACCAGGACCGTGCAGCCATGTCCTTGCCGCCGCAGTCTGAAGAATGTGGAGTGCCCGGGCGCGGATGAATAAACTAATGAATAAATGCAGGGCGTTTGCTCAGGAGGAAGAGGTGGGAGAGCCTCGCTGATACCTGCGAAGCCGCTGTAGTGCGCCCCAGGTTCGTAGTGCCTCCGGCCTGAGGACACGTCGTAGACGCGGCCGAGCAACGCCAAGTACAGACCCGGGTCCCCTGGGCCGCCGCGATAGCGGGCTAGCTCCTCGGGTACGAAGAGGCGAAGGCCAGAGGGGGTACCCTCTGGGCCCCACCAGTCCATCAACCACACGGTCATGACCGCCGCCGCCGCCGCGACCAGGCTCAGCACCACGCCAAGCCCACATAGCCTGAGCATCTACCCGGCAGCACACAAGCAGCCACTTCCGAAGTGGCCACCTCTTTAACCACAACTAAGATGGCGGAGACGCCGACCGTGACGTCACAGCGCGACGCTCGACAAGCTTCAGAGTAAAGATCACTCTTCGGCTCCGACTCTTTCTCGTCCTTTTCCATCATAGTTTGAGAACCTGAACCGTGGAGGAGAAAGTGGAACTGCACTGAAAGACCATCTTGGCGTACAAGTTATCCGCCCTCAACAAAGATGGCGGCAAAGGAGGCTAGACGTTGACTAATCCATATATGGCAGGCGTGTTCTTAGGCCTCACCTAGCTGTCGTGAGATGGTAGAATCCGCTTGACGTCTCCGTTGCGACAGCAGGCCTCGCTCGACGGCCAGGAAGCCGGAAGTCGCTGCCGCCGCCGTCGTCCCCACCCCGTCCCCGCCCGCCTGGAGCTGTCGGAGGTTGACAGGTCGTGGCTGGGAGGCGGCGGCGGCGGCACCTCCGAGCACCCAAGACGGAGGCCCCATGGGGAACGCTCCGAGTAACAGCAGCGAAGACGAAGCGGCGGCCGCCGGGGCTGAGGGCTGGAGCCCACATCAGGACTGGGCTGCCGACTCCGGCACGACTCCCGGTCCCGGCCCCGCGGCCGCGGCGCTGCCGCCCGCGGCTGCTCTGCTGGAGCCCGCCCGGCTGCGAGAGGCTGCGGCTGCGTTGCGGCCCGCACCTCCCTGCGAATCCCTGGTGTCGAGGCACCACGGCGCGCTGTTGCGCTGGCTGGAAGAGCGGCTGGGCCGCGGTGAAGAATCTGTCACCCTGGAGCAGTTCCGGGAGTTGCTGGAGGCTCGCGGCGCTGGCTGTTCCGGCGAGCAGTTTGAGGAGGTCAGGGTGGGCTGGCGAATGCTGGCTTGGGGACAGGGTGGTCGCCGATAAGGTCTTGAAGAGGTGGGCGGTTGCTTTGCGGAGGCCAGCCAGGAAGTCACTGGGTCCTCAGGTTCTTAGAATGGAAGCATGGGGTTACCCGAACCCATTCGGAGTGCATCACTCTGGACTTTTGCTACGTCTCTCACCTTTACTAGAGGTGTGGAAAGTCCAGGCTACGTTGGCTTTGCTCCAAAAAGAGGAACGAGCAGAAATGTCTCTGCATGTGGTAGGCCGACGTTTGTGCCGTTGACAGACAGGCTTAGTTGCTTGCTGGAGGTATCAAGGTATAAGACAATTATGAGAAAGGATGTGCAAAGATCAAGGGAGTGGCCGTAAAAACCATTTCGTTGTACTGGTCTGTACAGATCTTTCAGAGAACAATCAGAGTCAATGTGGAAGGAGGGTAAGGATACACTGAAAAGACTCCACGAGCCATCCTCGTCTATAAAGTACTCATTTCTCCAAAGTACACACTTGATTTTAGATCGTTGAAGAACTTCTTCCAGACTCATTTAAACCCTTGTGAGACTTAAAGTTGACAGGGAAGCATGTTTCTTGTACTTGTGCAGTTTCTCCCCATATCTGTACTGAACACTTAGGTTTAGGATTTGGAAAAAACTGACCCAGACTTACCCTGTAAATCATTTCATTGGCAAAGTTGAGAACATCATACAAACCTCTTTTTTTCCCCTTATGTCCCTATTGCCCTGTTCCCTGAAGCCTTATTAAGTCCACAATGTTAGGACAAAAAGGTGTTTAAGTGAGTAAACCATGTAAAATTGTCAGTCATTGAATGGTTAGTTTGTAGAACAAGAAACCAACTATCACTTGTAGCATCTTTATAAAATTCTGTTTTCCCTAAAACAGAGACTTTTGAAATATTTCAAGGATGTTGCCTACAAATGATGAAAATATTTACATAATATATTTTGTAAGTTTTCCTCTAAAAACTGCCTTTAATGCGGTCTAACTCTCAAAATATGGTGGCACAAACCTGTAATACCAGAATTTGAAAGGTAGTGGCAAGAGGATCAAATCAAGGTCATCTTTGGCTACAAAGTCAGTTTGGGTACAGCCTGGGCTACATAGAGTAGCACTATCTCAAAAGTGTAGAACATGTATGCATTCGTATTATATACACACATACAGTCAGTTAATGAAAGGTCTCCATTAAAATAAAATTCCCAAGCTGTTCATGGTAAGCACACATACATGATTCTAGCACTCGAGAGGCTGAGGTAGGCAAGTAAAAAAAAATCCTAGAATATTCATAATATTTTCACTCTAGTACACATCTTTTATGAGAATATGAAGCCTTGGTAGAAAGATCTATGTAGATTTGATCCAAGAATTTTTTAAGTTTTTTTTTTTTAAGGCAAATGAAGAGAAACAGCTTTTATACTGTGAGAATGTCTGATTGAGCAGAACTGTCCATGAGGTTTATAGAGATCATGTAATAGAAGGCCAGGAAACCACAGACCCTAGAAGAATCCCTCAAGGGTTGTAATCGGCATTATTCTTTTTTTCAGGGCCTAACTGAACACCAGCCCTCTAGCTGATGGTTTTAGTATAGTAGAACAGTTAGATACTAGTTTACCATTAAAGGTGTGGACACTGTCCACCAAGAGAAAGCATAAAGAATAAATAGGAAGTGTATTTAACTCATCTCACATCCCAAGTTGGAGGGTCCTAACAAAGGTCACATTTCAGGGGAGATTTGAAAGTGCAAGAAGTCAAGGAGCAGGAAGAGGGAGCAGTGCTTGCAGGCCAAGAAGTAATTACACCTTGGGATGTCTACTAAATGGAGAATCTAGTGGTACTGTATGATCTGTTAGGCTAGAAAAAGCTGCTACTCTTCCAGAGCACTGAAACATTTGCTGCCTTGTAATCAGCTCCAGGGGACCCAACACCCACTTCTGGCCTCCAAGGTTGCCTCCAAGGTTACCTCCACACAGGTACGTGCGTGAACACGCGCGCACACACACACAAATAAATAACAAATCTTTTTAAAAACTCAGAGACACCTAATGTATCAGGTTTAAATTATTATTTTTATATTATTTTATGTGTGTGAGTGTTTTGACTGCATGTATGCCAATACCCCAGTGCCTGGTGACAGCAGAGGCCAGAAGAGGTTATCAAAATCTCCTGGAACTGGAGTTATGGGGGTTTGTGAGCTGTCTTGTGGGTGCTAGGAATCGAACCTGATTCCTCTGAAAGAGTACTCAGTGCTCTTAACTGTGGAGCCATCCTTCCAGCTCTCTATATTGGTAGTTTAAACAAAAATGTTTTGCTTTGATTTTGAGTAGGGTCTCATTATAGCCACTACTGGCCTAGAACTCACTGTGTAAGCCAAAGTGGCTTTGAACTCATTTTAATCCTCCTTCTTCAGTTTCTTGAATTCTGAGACTACTGGTGTGCATCACGGCACCCACCCAGAAAAAAATTTTTTTCATGACAGGGTTTCTCTGTGTTGCTTTAGAGCCTGTCTGGAACTAGGAAACTGCTTTCTTATGTAAAAGTTCAGGTAGGCAATCAAGGCTGATGTGGTATTTCAAAATTACTAGGGACCTGGCTGTGTCCTTCTTGTACTGCACACCCCGTAAGCACCTTTCATTTAGTAACTCAGTTTATTTCTTCCCTTACTTTCCCAACAAGAAGGAAGGTGAAAAGGGAAGGGCATGACCTTGCTGTTCTCTTAGGTAGAGCTTATTTCCCACAGGCTCAAACTTAGTGCAGTGGCCACACTTGTAAGAAAAGCTAGGAAAGATCATTTCATGGCCTTATATTTTGCTAAATTTGAGGTTTTGTTTCTGAGGAAAAGAACAGAGGGGATGCTAATTTTGGCTAGATCATAGAAGCAGAAGAATGGATGAGGATGATGGAGAGGGACCAAGAATTTGAGTCCTCAGCAACCTAGCAAGGAGTTTGGAAATTGGAGTTTTGTTATTGTTTGTTTGTAGTCCTGGCTGTCTTGAACTCATAGAGATCTGCCTGCTTCTGCCTCCCAAGTGCTGGGATCAAAGGCATGTACCACCATGTAGGGCTGGTTATGTCTTCTTATTAAAGTCATAATTGAGGTGGTGGTGGTGCACACCTTTAATCCCAGCACTTGGGAGGCAGAGGCAAGTGGATCTCTATGAGTTCGAGGCCAGCCTGGACTACAGAGTGAGTTCCAGGACAGGCTCCAAAGCTACACAAAAAGAAAGAGAGAGAGAGAGAGAGAGAGAGAGAGAGAGAGAGAGAGAATCCTGTTACGCAGGTGACAGAAATTAACTTTAAGGAACCCTCAGCCCAACACCAAGAACTGATAATTTATAAAATAATGGATATTGCTATTTTATGTGTGTAAAAATCCTTGTGATAATCTAGAGCTGTGTCACAGGCTCCTAAAATTACACACACCAAACTCACAAAGGGTGTGCTTGAAAGTCACGTTTTCCCATCCTACCATATCTCACCTCCTCATTTGTAGCACGTTCAGATACACGGTGTCTGATGACTGACACCAGTCAACTCTGTGAGGCAGATGGATGACAACAGCCCCCAAACTGAGTAGGAAAGTGATGACCAAACTGAGAACTCGGCAAGGTTCAGTGACACCCATAAGATAAATTCATTTTGGACTGGGCATGTTGGTTCACACCTGTAATTCCAGCATTTGGGAAACTGAAACAGATTATTATTGCAAGTTTGAGGTCAGCCTGGGTTACAGAGTGAAACCCCACCCTGAGAGCTCCTTTGGGTGTTGTAGCAGGAGTCTTCAGTCACCCCTAAGCCCTTAACTGGAGAACATTTCGCCTCCATTGGAGAAAGCGGTCCTCTTTGACCCAGTGTACAGCTTCAGGTGGGCACACATGGGCCCAGTCAGTTCAGTTTAGTGGGATGACAGATGTTACAGCCAAGTCACCCTCCAAGAGCGTATCTGAAAAAAGATGATGTTAGAATTAGTCTCAGCACTAACTCTCAAGTGTGGGTCTTCTCACCCCAGAACTATTGTCCTTTCCTCTGTAAGGATCTTGTTCTCTGTTACTAATCTCTCAACCTCAAGGATAAATAAATAAGTTTCCCTTCATTCTATAGAAAGCTGGGCTGTTAAAATCTCAGGAGCACAAAACAAGCAAACACCCCATGAAGTCTTTTTCTTGAAGCCTATAGACCATTTTCAGATTTGAGAGGGAGGAGTTTTGATTTGGGTTGATAACCAAAATCTGGTACCTTGTCTTCTGCCCCACTGGTTAACTGTAGAAAGCATTTGTATCTCATAGTGAAAAAACAGAGCCAGAGTTTAAAGACTGTATGGTGGCAATCTCATGGTGGGTATCCTTTTATCCTGTCTATAAGTAAGGCATAATTATATT